GCAGTTCAAAGCACAGGAGCGCTTTCAGGGTTTTTTTTTTTTAACTTCGGAATAAGAGAGGAGGTCTTTAACATTTCCCTTCGTTTTACTCCTGCTGCAAATAAACTCATACCAGCTTGCATGTAGAGCTCCATTGATGTGTGCAGATACCCTTGCCTTCCCGATCTGGTTTTACGCACGGCCACAGCGCAGCTGAGAATCCATTTTTTTTGCGTTTTCTCTTAAAAAGGGTTTTCCTAGGTTATTCTGGCTCAGATTTTCATTCTTTTTTTAGCAAACAAAAGTAAACAAGACCTCTCAAATTGCACGCATATTTCGGCACCGCGCAGTTTTGCGCATGGATCTCCTCGACCCCTTTCTAAAGATGACGGAAGAACAAGAGAAATGTCTATCTGACTCCCCAAGCCCCAGCCTGTCGGAGGGCTCAGTGGGTTCCCCCTGCCCATCCGGTTCGGGATCTGACGCAGAGAATACCCGGCCGTCTGAGAACGCGCTCCGCCGTGCAGACGAGGCACTGCTGGGCGACTTCAAAAAGGATGAGGACGACAAGTTCCCTGCATGCATCCGCGAGGCTGTGTCCCAGGTACTCAAGGGCTACGACTGGACCCTTGTTCCGATGCCCGTGCGTGTAAATGGATCTATGAAGAACAAGCCGCATGTGAAGAGGCCGATGAACGCTTTTATGGTGTGGGCGCAGGCGGCGCGAAGGAAGCTGGCGGACCAGTATCCGCACCTCCACAATGCGGAGCTCAGCAAAACTTTGGGAAAACTCTGGAGGTGAGTATCTGAGTTTACAAGGGCGGCTCCACGGGCAGGTATAAGGGACGAACTAATAATCAATAGATGATGCTCCAAAATGTTGATCCAGAGCCTAACTAGTTAAATACAGTATATATTTTACCTAAATAAAACTAAATAAATAAAACTAGTCATATATATGTATTTATATATAGTTAAGTGTATAGAGTGGCCATGTTTTTGTTGTCCTATGGGGACCATTTTCCAGGAATATTTTTTTTTTATTTTGGGGAACCTAAAGGTACTTCTGATTAGTTCTCCTCTCTTTTTTTTGATGTGAGTGTTTTAGGGTTAGAGTAGGGGCCAGGGATTATGGAGGACCAACTCTGCCATATTTAAAAATAAATACATAAATAAATAAATGCTCAATAAATAAATAAGCATACAATTAATTGCCACCAAAAAAAACAATAAACAAATAAATGTAAGTAGAAATTAAATTATACATTGAGACATAAATGTAAATAATTCTTTTAATTAGCTTCTTTATTTATTTGCCTTTGTAATATTTACCTTGTTGATTTTTTTGTCCTTTACAATCTTCAACTTTATTTTTTAATTACTTATATTTTTAAGTATTTATTTATGTGCATGTTATAATGTTTTTGTCTGTTTTATTCTTCCTTTGTATTTTTTTACCCTAGTTATTTCTTCGCTGCTATTTATTTCTCCCTGCCCTTTTTACATTTCTGCCTCATTATGCAAATGAGGAGGGGGGCTGTCCTAGAGAGTCAACTTCTGCTCATTGGTTGGTTAACATTTTACTGCGTCGGTCGAATCTACATTAGGAGAGGAGAGTCTGAAGTCGAGTCTGAAGTCATTAGAACGCGAGTAGGGACCCGTTTGCCAAACTTTGCCAAATACAACAAAAAATCGCCATGATACCCAGCGGTCCTTCTCACACGGCTATGCCGAGAGAGGGCCGCTGCAGACGGGCTGCCGTTAGCTTCGGAGCTCCGCTGGTGCCGCGGTCCTCTCAAGTTCGGAAAGTTTTTTTTTTAATTACGCATTGAATCTGTGAATGGGCCATATGGTGATGCTTAAAAGTATAATGTTCTCGCCTCAAATAATCTGAAAACGTACTTTTATTCAACAACAGCAACAGAAAAGAGAACATTTCACTTAATACTCTGAGCTCTGTGAGTTAAGAAGATGAGCTGCCATCCAATGAGCAGAGGTTGACTCTCTAGGACACACCCCCTCCTCATTTGCATAATGAGGCAGAAATGCATACAGAAATGTAAAAAGGGCAGGCAGAAATAAATAGCGGCGAAGAAATAACTAGGGTAAAAAAATACAAAGGAAGAATAAAACAGACAAAAATATTGTAAGTAATTAAAAAATAAAGTTGAAGATTATAAAGGACAGAAAAATAAATAAGGTAAATATTACAAAAGGCAAATAAATAAAGAAGCTAATAAAAGAGTTATATACATTTATGTTTCACTGTATAATTTAATTTCTACTTACATTTATTTATTTATTGTATTTTTGCTAGCAATTAATTGTATGCGCTTTTATTTATTGAGCATTTATTTATTTAAGTATTTATTTTAAATATGGCAGAGTTGGTCCTCCATGGGGGATAGACCATACATGAACTTAATGTGAATGGAAGTCAGTAGAAATTCCAAACAGGGATAGTGTGACATTACGTGTCAATAAGTGTATCTGTGTGTGAAATGGTGTCCATGGTTTTGAAATATTCAGAGGTGGGCAGAGTACCCCAAAAACGTACTCAAGTAGGAGTAGAACTTTTTGACATTTTTTTACACAAGGAAAAGTAAAAAGTAGCCATCCAGGAGAAGTGAAAAAGTATTTGTTAAAGGCTACCCAAATATTGGGTAGTTCTTGGATACAATATAACATCTGATTTAATGGTTAGAAATGATGCAGACTGACTTTGTGAGCAAGTTTGGGTATTTCAAAGACTCAAGTACATAAAACGAAAAAAATAAATAAATGTCATGAATATACAGAAACAAATTTATGCAGAAGAAATAATTTTAACAAATTAGGTTTTCCACATAAAACTTATATAAAACCAATCATCACCGTGAGAAGTTTATATATGTCAGGAAAGGGTAAGGAACTATCACTGATAATATCTTATTGTATCTTCTCCTAAACTTGGAATAGTTAAATTTACTCTCAGCGGACAAAGTTGTAAGAGATTCCAGTCAAGTAAGAGTAGCGATGCTTTTCAAGAATATTACTCAACTAACAAGTTTGGTACAGTAAGAGTACTCCAAAAAATAAATGATTTTTTAAATGTTACCCAAGTAAATTTACCTGAGTAAATGAAACTAGTTATATCCACATTTGGAAATATTTTAACTCTTCAAATTCTTAATCTAATTATGCTTAGTTTTAGATGAGGGCGGTTTCGGGAGTGAGTAAATATGTAAACAGGGGCTTCCTAGTGAGTATAATGATAGTATATATATTTGGAGATCAATAAATAGCACTCTTAATCAAGCTTTGTCCTTTCTTCTCTTAAATTAATGCTTGGAAAATTTCAACATTCAAACAAACCGGAATGGCCTGAAAGGCATTTACTCACCCGTGGCCCTCAGCCTCCAAAAATAATTAACTCAGTTAAACTGTAAAAGTCTTCTATATTATTTAAAACATGTTTTACCCAATATCTTTCCCAAAGACAGACACGTTTTTCTATATATTTTTTGCTATTTGTGTAATGATTTGTGTAATTAATAAAAAAAAATCCAATACTCAATCTAAAGGTATGTTCACACTAAACACGAATTTTGCTGATGGAGCAAATGATTCCCATGTTATTTTATGCAGAGGGCGGATTTGGAGCGGAAAAAAAGCTGTGCAAAGTTTAGCAAGGAGAAGTTGGCCAATTCAATGTAGGGTGGTGAACTGCATGATTTTGGCGAGGTCAGCGATATTTTATCCCTGTCTTGCCTACGAAGGAAGTTAAAAAATCTGAACCTTTGTTTACATTTGTGTCATGAAATCCAGTCAGGGACTAGATGTGGCTGTGAAGTGGAGTGAAGGAGCACAGCGGAGACAAGGTTTTCTTATTAAAAATGATGGATGGAGAAATTTTTTAACAAAGGTTGAAGTGGGGTTGTTCTTTAGAGGAGCTCTGCCGGCATCTGCCCAGGCAAACTTTGCTGATTCACTCGTTACTCCTTTCACCGGTCGCAGTTAGGCTACAGAGGCCAGCTCCAGCCAGCCGTAGCTTCTCCTAGCTCTGCCTCCATGGTTGGCTTTGCTTCTCCAATGTACCACTGTCCTACTCCCTGGCATCTATAGCTAGCCCTAGCCAGCTGATGTTCTCAGACGTAGGCATAGTCTCAGGTTTTAACATAATTAATGATCACTTTTGAAAAAGTTAATCAACCAGCATCCTTATATGCCACCATCCTTTTCCAAAATCAACAACTTTTCATTCTGTAGTGACCAGTTGTTCCTCTACAGCACAGCGGTGCTGTTATTGATAAACTCGATCAGCTGATTTTACTCACTGCCCGCTGGCTGCTTTCTTTGCTTGTTTGTGAGGGATCAGCTGGATCCCCGAAACCTTGCGCTTTTCTTCAAGTCATCAGTGAAGGTTTTCTACTTCTTATGGCTACCTTGCAACCTAATAAGTTCCCAAAAATAAAAAAATGACAGAGTAGTTTTTAGTAGGAGCTTTTAGAATCACTCAAAAATAAAAAAGCACTTGCCGAAAGTTTTATGGATCTGGAGGTGTTTTCTTTACTTATAAAAATAACAGAAATAATATTCAAGTTGATTTACAAAAATGTAATTATAAACCTTAATCGGTGGTTTTATTCCTCACTCCCGCACCAAACAATCAGATCAACCTCATTCACAGCCATAGGCGTTTTTAGCTTATTTTTGAGGATGATGAAGCAACCCTAATTTGAATCAAAGTAACCCTGAAATTTGAGGGTTTTTTTAATACTGTATATGCTTTAAAAAAAGTGACATTGTAAAAACTATACAGTAATTTGGTTATTTAACACTAGATGTCCCAGAGAATTTCAGTTCTCCTGCAAGCCCCCCTCCCCTCTTCAAGTGTGTATTCACTCTACCTTGCTAACTGTCCTTGTTGTAATGCAAATAACCTTTGATATGGCCAGCCCTCCTACATGAGACTGGATAAAGGCTGAAACAAACTAGCATCAGAACAAGAGCATGCTTCAAACACTTTACATTACCTGCCCCTGCAACATCAGACCTTTTTGCAGGAATAACTTGATAAGTCATATCTAAATCTGTTGAACAACCAGATATCATACAGGTCCTAGTTCCTGAGCTGAGAACAGGTCATAACGATGCTTTACCAACAAGGCAAGGCAGAGCTTATTTATATTGTCCATTCACCAACACACTCATTTATATCGCAAAGCTCACTATGTGAAAGAAAGAACTACTCAGAGACTAATTGTATTATGTCTTGTTTAGCCTTTTCATGTCATTCAACATTTCAACTTAGAGAATGACAAACAGTATGATTTCAGTATTGGAGTAACATTTATTTCACCCAAGGAAAAGCACTACATATGAAGCTACAATTGTCCCATTTAGCAGTTTTTACAAACCAAAGGTGAGTCCCTCCTGCATTTGCAACAGGTATACTTTGTGCAGTGCACACAATGCTCAGTGCTGTGGTTCCTGTTGCAGAGATTGCACACCTGGCCTGCTTTTAATAATAATGAAAAGATCTAAAAAAAAATAGAGTTTAGCACATTCTCCCAAAGTAAGAGTTTTAGTCTGAACTAGATGAGGTTATCTATGTGTGCTAATAGTTTTGTGGCACTACGATGATCTATAGTGTAATTATTGGCTATTATATGCTTATAATAACAAAGACAAAATCTGCAAAAATACAGTTTTGCAAGCCGATAGAACTATGGCAAGCCGTTTTCAGATACACTAGTTTTACTGAATATGTATTCCTGATATCTGAAAAAAAAAATTCTTTGTGTAAATTACCATTTCAAACAAAAGTACATTCTCCACATCTAGAATGAACACTCTGGTTGTCTATAAATTTATGTCAGATCCCCATATTCCTAATATTACTGTTCAGCATTTGTATTATTTTAACTATGACATTTTTTTTTCAGATATCATAAATACATTTTCAATAAAGCTAATAAATGTGAGAATGGCCAATTAAAATGTAAACATTTTACTTTCTAGATAAATAAAACTTAATTCTTACTAGTATATATATTTTTTCTAATATTCAGTTTCTGCTACAAAAATGTATTTTAGAAAATATATAATTATAGTTAGGTCTAGGAGTGGGGTTTTGATCACAAGGAATCTTATTTTAGTGATCTACAAATGGAACAACATATAAACTTAACTCGAGCAATCTTCTTCTTAGCCACCTTCCTCTTCTTTGTAGCTGTAGCACTGTTCCTCTGTCTTTTAATTATATTCTCCTTTTTTATACATTTTTTGGATTTCTGCATTTCTACATCTCTAGTTCCAAGTTGGTGAATTAAGAACCTTCTGTTGCCTGTCGTCATAGTGACTTGTCGAATAGGTTGCACACGTGCTTAACTCTGAGAGGACCTACTTAAAATTGATTGAACAAATTGATAGCAGCCGCTGTGAAACCGAAAACTCAGAGTTCCCTTCTATAGGCTAGATCAATTTAGATTTGCGGATTTGAATCTGAACTTTTTAAACCTTCTTCGTGAAACATACCCCAGGTTTATTAGAAATAATAAACAAAGACAAAACAAGTAAACAAGCCTGATGGAGCTCCTAAACTAAGATGTTGGCCAACGCTTTGAGGAAAACACTGCATTAAGGTGTTTCTTGAAAGGTTCAGTCATATTTCTGAACCTATTGATGG